CCCGCTAAGGGCATGTACCTCGGTTGCAGTTTGTCCCCGGCCCTGGTTGGGTTGTGCGGGTGGCAGCCACTCGATGTGTCCTTTTCACGTCGATGTTTCTCTCTCTCTCTCTCTCTCTCTCTCTCTCTCTCTCTCTCTCCCCTTCCCTCCCTCCCCACTCTATCTGAACAAAAAATGGAAAAATGTCCTCGGGTGAGGATAAAAAAAAAGTTACTATTAAATAATTGATATTTACAAGAATATGTTTACTCAAGTATATTTGTGAGTGAAAAGGACTGAACTGAACTTATCTTTATCAATTTTGGGGAAAATGTAACTTTATTTTGTTTTGCTACTGAAAAGGAATACAGGTGTTTCTCTCTCTCGAGAACTTACATCTCTGTGTTGGTGTTCAGTTTCATGCAACCAAAGGAAATGGTATAAGGGAAAGGAAGGAGTAGGGAGAAATGAGAAAAGGGAGAAATCCAAACGTGTTGCTAATATGACTATATTTGTTTTTATAAAATGTTGGTCAAATTGGTTAGTTCAGCCAATTCCTTTCCTTTCTTCACACATCAAGTACACAAAACGCAAGAAATTACACAATGGTTTAGAAACGGGTAGAGGAATTTAGCTGTGAGAGTTTATACCTAGCATTTAGAAGGTGGGACATCTCCTTATAATGATAACCTTAGGAAAAAATATATTGTTGGATTTGTGAATCTGAGGACTTCAATCCTCCCTGTCAAGGTCAACACAGTCGTATTTATCTACAGGAGGAGGTGGTTTAATTGGAATGTTTTGCCCTTGACTTTGTTATTCTTGCCATTTCCTCATTTAAAATTTAATTTGGATTTGTGGAATGGGGTGAGGGACTATCTGTGGAAGTCTATGCCACACAGACTGGAGAAGACAGGGCACTGGGGAGCTAAGATGCCACTCGCAGCTCCGCTTTGTACATTGAGGATGACACAGAGCTGGGTCTTCCTTCTGCGTAGCTTTCAGGTTGCCACACTCCTTTTCTTTCTTTCTTTTTTTTAAAAAAAATAATTTTTGGCTCTTTTTCTGATTTAAAATTATACATAGTCCTGATAAAAAATTGAAAAACACAGGACAGAAAAAAAGAAAAAATTTTTCTACAGTTCAAAGTGATAACAGTTGACTTTAAGTGTATTTTCCTTTAATCTTTTTCTGTGACTACATAAACACAGATACATATACACACTTATATAATGTTGTATCCTTTTTATTTTGAAATAATGATAAACTCACAATGTCTTGATGTTTTTCATACAGCACTGTATCTGGAGTATTCCCCTTTCATGAACAATTCTTACAAGGACCATTTTCTGAGGTTGCCACTTAAGGCGATAGCAGTATTTGAAAAAATTGTGTTATTAACTATTTCTAATTTATATTGTGATAAAGTAATTTTAGTCCATAAAAATTCATCTATATTTCTGAAAATTTCCTTAGGACAGATTATTTGGAATGAAATTTTGCGTTTAAAATAACTATTTTTAAGGCTATTGAAATACACGGTCAAATCACTAAGCAGAAAAGGTATATAAACTAATCTCACCAGAAATCTATTAGAATCCCAAGTTTTTTCTCATCCTTGATACTGTAAAGTATTAATGGTTGAAAATATTTTGCTAATTCAATGGCCATTTTTGCCATGTAAAGCTGATTGGATTTGTTGGCAAAGCCTAGTTGTAATGGATTCCAGAATAATTCCGTAAACTGTGAGAGAAAAGTCATGCCATTTCAGCTTAATTACAATAGTTAGCTGAAACAGCTGTCATTTTCTAATGCCAGTTGCATAGTGTGCATTTTGGTACCTATTGGGCTAGAAAACAAGACTGTTAAGCTTTTTAAATGACCTTTCTAATACATTTTGATTACTACCTTATTTTACTTAATTTTTTTCAAAGGAAACATCTCCATTTAAAAGATCTTTATTTTAAGTAGTGCTTTTTTCCTTCTTATGAAAAAATATTAATTTACAGATACTTAGACAAAGTAAATTACCCTTTTCAAGGCAAATAGACACCTAGGCGTCTTCTAAATAGATACTTCCCCGATTTCTAATTCTCCTCTCTGAAGACTTTTCTGACTTTCTCTTAGAAATTGAATTTAATTTCCTAGAACTATGCTGAAGAGTCGTAATAAAGTTAATTAAACAGGAGGCAAAGGAATATTCAAGAATCAGCATTTCTGGAAGCAATTTTCGGAAAATCTGTGATAGAACAGAGTTTATCTCTGCTCCAAAAATTTTATTAAAAATCTGCAGGCATTTTGCAATATGCTGTTGATACAAAGTGAAAAAGATACAGTCCCTGCTTCCCAAGGCATCACAAATGAATAGGAGCAATGGATTAAGTAATCATAGGAATATGGTAAGTGCCAGTAAAAGACACAGCGGGGTCCTGGAAGACAAAGTAGCTAGCAGTCCGGACTGGTAAAGAGGTCACGAATATGCAGCATTCTGAAAGATGAGCAGGGTTTGTGAGCTTTAATGGTGAGAGGGTGGCAATGGGGTATTCTGGGCAGAAGGATATTCTGGGCACAGTAACCGAGGCAACGCATCAATTGTTGAAACACTAGGAGTGCACTGAAAGATTTTGAGTAGGGACATGACTTGATCATATTTTTCCTTCAGAAAAATCTGCAAAAAATGGTTAAAGGATGGCATTTTGCAAGGCCAGGGTGTATGGGAGCCAAGTTGCGAGACAAGATATAAAGAGACCACTTAAAGGGGCAAGACAGTTTAATGGCCTAAACCTGTGGCTGAGCATACATCAGAGTCACCTGGCTGGCTTTTCATAAAACACACCTTACTAGGCTCCATCCCAGATTTTCTGGTTCAACAGTTATGGCCCGAGGCCTAAGAATTTACATTTTGAACAGGTTTCCAAATAGTGTAGGGTGACTTCCAGGTTTCTGATTTAAGCAACTGGGCAGATCCTGATGCCATATAACAACAGAGGGAAAGTATGAAGCAAGTGCTTCTTTATCCCGCTACACTCCCCGCTTTCGAGCTGTTTCCCCTAATTCTCCAAGGTTTACCTGCCTCAGCTGGCTGGCTCCCTCCTCCAGCATCCTTTCCCTAGGAGCCGCATCTCAGGCTGCTGAACTCCAACTGACCTCTCTGAACGTCCCTGGCTTATGCTTCCAGGATCCAGCTCTCTGTTAGTTTACGACAGACCCAAATGGAACTGTGTGTCATTGATTATGAAAATGGGAATTTGATGCTCCTCCAGGGGAAGAAATTTCTGCTTTAATGGTGGTCTTCCTGAAACCACGCCTCAGCCCAGCGCAGCACTCAAGTGGGGAGTTCAGGTTTCACAACAGGCACTCTGCAGGACATTGCTGGAGGGGGGGGGTCTGCTGACTCCTTAGTAAACAAAGGCGGGCCTTGCCAATGTAGAGAGGCAGCCTCACATAGATGACAGATGCCAATTAAAATGTCAATTCTTTGGGCTCTGCCGCAGTTGAGGTGGGTCACAAATAGGTATGATTTATCCTTGTCAAGGAAAAATAAAGTAACTTTAAAAGATACTTCTATTTAATTGTAATCTAATAACCTCTGCTGTGAATAACTTGCTTTAATTACAGATGTAGGGGAAACAGACCAGACAGTGGCCATAAAATTTTCTTCCCTTAAATTATGTACGTGTGTGTATAATATTCCCTTTTTCTCTCTCTCTCTTCTTAGAAAAAGTTACTGTATCCCATTTTGTATTAGACTCTTCATCTGTACAATTAGGACTGTAACCTACCTTACCAGGTGTTGGGTGGATTAAATAAAATAATGTATTTTATTTCATGTATATGTCCTGTATAATAAATATTCTCGTCTCTCCTCTTTTGTCTTGATGATTTGTTATCTAGCCACTGTGCTGGGAAGTGACCGAACTCTAAACATCTTTGAAAGTTACCACCATGGTGTGGAATGCGGGAACCAGACAGCAGTGACGTCATTTTGATGGGGGGATACCCAAAGGAGCCATTTGCAGATTTCCACAGGTCGTTCTGCAAATAACATCAGCAAATGCAGAAGACTACTTCAATGTCAATTGTTGCTGCTTTCCAATTAGATTTTCTTAGGCTTCCCACTCTGCTTCCCTCGCTCCCCTCCAGTCATAGACGTCATTGCAATTTGATGCTGATGTGATGATTTGCTCATGACTTAAAAAAATTCAATAACAGGGAACAAAAGGTTAAGGATGACTAAAAGAATTAAGAGCACGCTGTATTCTGCCCCTCACTTTCTCAGCTGTCAGTTCACACAAGTGGGAGTTTTATCCTTGCTTCCATGACGACCTGATCAGTAGGTATTTAAAGGATCTCATTAGGACACTGTAGTGATTATTTATTGAGTATTTACTGTGTAGGAATTTTGAAAGATCTATATTCTACCTATACCTATGCACACATTCATTCCCATATCTAAAATCATTATCCATATCACCCCAGGAGTTTGTGTAGAAGTCCTAGAAGGAAGGATATAGAACATACCTTAATTATTTCTCGCCATGAACAATAATTAACCTCTTTGTTTTCCAATTTTGGAAAGGTATTATTTTCAAGAACCTGATGGGTTAGATTTTCCATACTTGGTTAAGTTCCCTTCATAACAAAATTACTCATTGGGAGAGCTTTGTCAGAAAATTTGATTATTCCTAAATTCATTTTATTGGTGTCCCTCACTGCCCCCCACCCTTACCTGACTCACCTAAATGGTATATGGCAATATCCAGTCAACATTAAAATATATGTCCAGAGGGAATCTCAGATAAATATTGTGTAGAAAAATAAAGTTGAAATAATTTATAAGATAATTTGATAAGTACTGCTTCACTTTAAGAAAAAAAAATTTGACTTGGAACTATGATCAGGCTCAGTTTCTATACTTGGAAAAATCCTCGAATCACCCTTGCTCAGGGGGGTTCATCTTTAGTACATTTAGTAGGTCTTACCCATCAGTGGGGCTCAGTTCAGCAGGCTCCTGTACTCACCTACGAATCTTATGATCCTTCGGAGTAAGGGGTTCAGGTAACAGCATTCTCCGGTTAGAATTGTTTTCTCCTGGGCAATCAGAGATTCTCTGGTGGACTTTATGAAATACATGGATATCTCACCAATAAAAATCTGCAGAAGGAATGTTTAAGAAATGTCAATTTGGAGAGCTGTCTGATAAAAAAAAACACACAAAAAAACAAAAACAAAAAACCAGTGTCTTCAAAAAACAAAACACGAAGAACTTCTGTTGGAGACGTAGAGTTAGAGGAGTTTGCACTGAACTAATCTCATAGATGCTCTTCTTTGCTCTGCATAATCTGTGGTTTCCAACAAACACTGCCCATGTGTAAGAATCCCCATGCCTTATATTCCCCCTGTAATTATGGAATATACGTTTAGATGAATAAAAATGGTAATACCATGAATGGCACATGGGTGATGGAAATTAAACTATAGACTTTTAAAACTGGAATCATTTATAGATGTTTTCCCTTTTCTTTTATAAGTGAGAAAATTGAAGGTCTCAGGGATTTGGCCATACACAGCCAGACTGTGTCTGAAGTAGGTCTAGAATGTGGTCTCTAAATAGACACTGTCACCCTGATTGTACAGATAAGACGCCCTGAGGTATAGGGGGTTAAATAATTTGTCCAATGTCATCAGAGCTAGTAAGTCACCAACCCAGCTCTGCAGCCAGGAAAGTCTAGCTCCAGAATTCTCCCTCTTAACCACTACACTTTCACTTACTAGAGACTCTGTAAAAATAGCCATTGCATTTGTGTCTCATCATGAGAACATCAAAAATAAAAAAAAACAAATTTAAGTGCAACATGCTTTATCTTTTTTAAAATTTTTATTCCTCACCTGAGGATATTTTTCTATTTATCTTCAGACAGAGAGAAAGGGAGAGAGAGGAAAACATTAATGTGAGAGGTCTGCCTCCCGCAAGACCCTGACCAGGGCAGGGGACCAACAGCAACCGAGGTACGTGCCCTTGGCCAGAATCAAACTCGTGACTCATTGGTCCTCGGGCCTAGGCTCTACCGCTGAGCCCAACTGGCCAGGGCGCAATATGCTTTAAACACTGAAACACTCATCCAATACTAAAGTACAAGAAAGAATAGTGTAGCAGAAATAGAACTGTAGGCAGTCAGAATGGGGTGGGCAGTTGGTAGGAATAGACAGAATTCAGGGTCAGACAGGCAAACAATGGGCCAGCATAGATCACCTTGGCAGGTGCTGAAATATTTTGTGCTTAACATCCCTTGGAATTAACAATGAGCTGATGAGCTCTGCCATGTAAAAATATCTGAATGGCTTCAAGAACTCAGCCCTCCCTGTTTGCCCGCAAGACCTATCTCTGCCAAAATAAGGTGCCAAGGGGCTTTGTTCGTCCCTGCTGTTCATGATGGAACCGCATTACTCTTCTTTATCTTAGTGAACAGATGGGGATACATTCATTCATGCTTGGATACAGGAAATAGTATTTCCTTGAGGGAGTTTTCTCTTATTCCACAGACTAGCTAAGGCATTCTTGCTGTACATGAACCTCTTACCTTATGTTTCTCCTTTCTAGCTCTTATCGCAAATGATTACATATTATTATTGTTATTTTTTGTTATGGGATGTCATACCTCTCTTATTCTCTGTTGTATCCCAGAGGCCTGACCCAGTGGAAGGTACATTGTAGCTAATCAGTATTGAATGAATTAAGCATGTCAGATTAATGAAGGTCTTTTGGAATATAGGTTTAATGAGGTAGACTATAAAAAAAGAAAAATGATTTCTATTATTTATCCTTCCCGACCCACTGAAAATGTCACTGCTCTTTCCAAAGCCTTTCCAGACCCCACAGGAAAAGGGAGACCTGTCTTGTCATTGTTCCCACAAAACGTCACACAGATCTCTGTCCTGACATCTATCCAATTAATTACAATTACTGTCTGTATGTCTCTTTATTTGACTATGATGTCCTTATGGGAAGGACTTTTGCCCTCCCTTGTATGGTGCCTAGAACAGGAGTAGTATATTGTAGGCTCGATCAATATTTGTTGAACAAATAGAATACTGAATCTTCAGAGGATCTACTTTTGGATAGAGCCCTCTGACCTTAATTTCTCTGAAGATGAACACTGCAGAAAATTCCTAGTATGGACCAGACAGCATACATTAATTGGTGTATCACCTAAGAATAAATAAAATCCAAAGACTAAGTAACACAAAGTAAATGATGTCTTTTCAACTGAATTCACTAACATATTCATTTTGGGTTCACCGGTTTCAGAGAGGGAATTGTTCTAGCACTGGAGACACAGCTGTGGGGGTTGGGGAAGGACACAAACAAACTGGTAAATGTCTCATGTAATGTCATGAAATGATTAAAAAGTAAATCAGGGAAATGGGATGGAGAGTGAGAAACATGAGGGAAAAAGCACCATTTGCTGCAGCCATTTCGGAAGCTGAAAACTTTCTTACTGTGTAGAAAAGAGATGTGTAAATTCTAGGACTTCCACATTCCTTGAAGATTTCTGCAACTCGCACAAGAGGGCAAAAAAGCAAGCAGTGTAAGAAAATCTGTACACAACCTAGTTGTTAAAAAGTACATGTACACACCCCAAAATGGTAACAAAATCAGTTCAAGGTATAGCAGACCAAATGGAACTTAGGCATAAGGATATATATGGGGTTCAAATAAACCCATAAGTAAAATGACCCAAGACTCTTGTGTCAAAGTGATTAGCATGTTACTAATGGCCAAGAATATTCAGATCACAACTGAGGTATGAAGCATAAAAGAAAAAAAAGTCAGAGCAAAATATATATCAATCTATATATCTAGTTACTGACCTAATGCCTAGAATATATTAAGTAATCATGAATGTTTACAAAAGGAAGAAAGGAAGGGAGGGAGGGAGGGAGGGAGGGAGGGAGGGAGGGAGGGAGGGAGGGAGGGAGGGAAGAAGGGGATCATTTCATAACGGACACCTTTGTAGGAAGATATTCCTGGTTTGCAGTTTAGACTGATGGACATAAAGGCTGCTGCTGAAATGATCTAGCTCTCAGATCCTAGTGAGTGGGCTTCGTGGATGTTCGTTTTCCTGCAGTTTACTGAACACACATAGGGTTCTACTTCTCTGTCCCTTGGGTCCTACAGTCTCATATGGGCCTGATTCTGCTGGGAGAAAGGGAGTGGGAGGGTTCTACTTGCTCAGGGGAAGGGGTCTCCTTTTTGCCAGGCCTCCAGCCCACACTGGATGCCATTTTGCACAGTGTGTTGGATTTATGACTGGTTTTGGCAATGGCTGGGTTCCCCCATCTGTATCTTTGCCACACACATTCTGCCTCTATCTACCACTCCGTTCAGAGAGCAGCTGGGACTCGCCACGTGTTCAGCGCTGGCTGCCCTATTACGGCCTTTCTGACTGTCAGCTACCAAGCATCGTGTCACTCACAGCAAACGAGGGTACCCTCTGCTGAGCAACCATCAGGCCACACTCTGGATCTGGCAGTGAGTGAACTGCTAATGCAGTCCATGAGTGCGATTCTCATCCCCCGCTACGCCGGCTGCAATCCCCAGGGACAGGAGACATCTAGAGAACAGGAAATATGCACTAAGTAATGAGGATAACTATTCTATCTTGATAAAGTTGTCTTTAAAATATGGAAACCCAAATGGCAAATAAATAAACAAATAACCCTGGGATGTACTGTATCGGTTTGGTGTGCTATCTTTTAGACTTCATTTCTTCACAGTGTTTTATTGGAGATCTTATAATAGATAAATAAGTGATATAAATGCAAAATATTTAGAAAACAGTATTTAGATTTAAAAATATAAACAGTCTGCAGGAAAAAGTAGGTACTGTAAGATGTACTATAATTTCACAGTGTAAGGGGGATTCACTGCATGTTGTCAATTAAAAGGACATCTAGAATTCCTGGAATATATGTTTTAGGTTCACACACACGCTAGTTGAAGCTCTGATGATTGGCAATGTCAAAGTCAGTGCTATTTCCTGAATGTGGGCTGTGACGTTGAAATCCCAGCTTCCTTCCATCTTGATGTGTGACTTTGGGCAAGTAATTAAATCTTTTTGAGCTTCACTCCCCCCCACCCCCCCTTTTTTTTTAATCCTCACCCAAGGACATTTTTTGCATTTATCTTCAGATAGAGTGAGAGGGAGAGAGGGCAGAAGAGAGAAACATTGATGTGAGAGAGACACATCGACTGGTCGCCACCCACATGACCTCAACCAGGGCTGGGGACAAACTGCACCCGGGGTACGTGCCCTTAGTAGGAACTGAACCCTGGCCTCTCTGGTCCGCGGGCCAATGCTCTAACCACTGAGCAAAACTGGCACTGAGCCAAACCGGCAGGGCTCACTTTTTCCCTGTTTTTCATGATCTAGAACATGAGGGTAATAACTATTAGAAAATTGTTGAGTATTAAAAATGTACATTAAAGCCTCTATAGGTGCTCAAAGAATGTTTGTTGCCCCTATTTGTCTATCTAGGCAAGTACGTCTGTTGGAATTGATTTTTAAAATACCCTTGTCCCTAGTCCTGGAGTGAGGGTCCAGGGTGTGACTCCAGCTCTGCCCTGCTCCACCCAGGAGTTTGGTCTTGGGCCAGTCGCTTGACCTCTCTGGGCCTCACTTTTTCAATCGGTCAATCTGTCAGTTTCTTGTCTGTTGGGCTTGAAGACCTCTCTCTCAAGTAGATTTCCAGCTCCAGCATCTTTGCCTTTATGACAGCTGACAAGAGAGGCTGATTGAGGGAAACTGAAATCGCATCACGGGGCTTCAGTCTCTGTCCCGTGGGTTAAGCTCCCCGGGCCCAGTGTGGTGTCTTGCAATGCTTCTTTCCCCTAAAGCGAAGTGGACACGGCCTGCTCCAGTCATCCATCTCCTGATGCCACTGTCTCGTGGGTTCCTGAAGAACTGCAGAGGCTGGCAGCCCCTCACTGGGTTTTGCTTGAGCAAGAGGAGTGGGTTCTTTCCACACGTCCCAGTGTGGGTGTCCAAGTCACTTCAGGGACCTCAGTCCCAGGGTGTTTAGATGCTTCCAATAGTCTCCATGAGCATGCCCAAGGAAGGCAGACATGGTTTTTGCTGTAGGTTTTGTTTCAA